CGTTGTGACGTTTGGTACACCCAAAGCACTCCTACGGTATCCGGGAGTTGCACAATCTCATGGTCTAAGGAAATGATACTTGACATTAGAAAAGCTTTAGCATACGAACTACATGATCTTGTGCTAGGCTTAGGATTGGGTCTTTGTCCATCACATCATTCTCCTAATGATGTGATCCCGTTATCAACGACATACAATGTCCATGGTCAGGAAACCGTAACCATCTATTGATTAACGAGCTAGTCAACTAGAGGCTTACTAGGGACATGGTGTTGTCTATCTATCCACACATGTATCTGAGTTTCCTATCAATACAATTCTAGCATGGATAATAAACGATTATCATGAACAAGGAAATATAATAATAATCAATTTATTATTGCCTCTAGGGCATATTTCCAACAGTAACTGTACCTGCTCCATTATTGGAAAGTAGTTCATCACAGAAACCAGTTCCTGTGACGCCTACACCAATTAGTGAGGAAGCTAATGATATTGATCATGAAACTTCAGATCAAGTTACTACCAAACCTCGTAGGTCAACGAGAGTAAGATCCGCACCAGAGTGGTACGGTAATCCTATTCTGGAAGTCATGTTACTTGACCATGACGAACCTACGAACTATGAGTAAGCGATGATGAGCCCAGATTCCGCGAAATGGTTTGAAGCCATGAAATCTGAGATGGGATCCATGTATGAGAACAAAGTGTGGACTTTTGTTGACTTGCCCGATGATCAGCAAGCCATCGAGAATAAATGAATCTTTAAGAAGAAGAATAAATGAATCTTTAAGAAGAAGACTGACGCTGATGGTAATGTTACCGTCTATAAAGCTAGACTTGTTGCGAAAGGTTTTCGACAAGTTCAAGGGGTTGACTACGATGAGACTTTCTCACCCGTAGCGATGCTTAAGTCTATCCGAATCATGTTAGCAATTGCCGCATTTTATGATTATGAAATTTGGCAAATGGATGTCAAAACTGCGTTCCTGAATGGATTTCTGGAAGAAGAGTTGTATATGATGCAACCAGAAGGTTTTGTCGATCCGAAAGGTGATAACAAAGTGTGCAAACTCCAGCGATCCATTTATGGACTGGTGCAAGCCTCTCGGAGTTAGAATAAATACTTTGATAGTGTGATCAAAGCATATGGTTTTATACAGACTTTTGGAGAAGCCTGTATTTACAAGAAAGTGAGTGGGAGCTCTGTAGCATTTCTGATATTATATGTGGATGACATATTGTTGATTGGAAATGATATAGAATTTTTGGATAGCATAAAGGATACTTGAATAAAAGTTTTTCGATGAAGACCTCGGTGAAGCTGCTTATATATTGGGCATCAAGATCTATAGAGATAGATCAAGACGCTTAATTGGACTTTCACAAATCACATACCTTGATATAGTTTTGAAAAAGTTCAAAATGGATCAAGCAAAGAAAGGATTCTTGCCTGTATTACAAGGTGTGAAGTTGAGTAAGACTCAATGCCCGACCACTGCAGAAGATAGAGAGAAAATGAAAGATGTTCCCTATGCTTCAGCCATAGGCTCTATCATGTATGCAATGCTGTGTACCAGACCTGATGTGTGCCTTGCTATTAGTTTAGCAGGGAGGTACCAAAGTAATCCAGGAGTGGATCACTGGACAGCGGTCAAGAACATCCTGAAATACCTGAAAAGGACTAAGGATACGTTTCTCGTTTATGGAGGTGACAAAGAGCTAGTCGTAAATGGTTACGTCGATGCAAGCTTTAACACTGATCCGGACGATTCTAAATCGCAAACCGGATACGTGTTTATATTGAACGGTGGAGCTGTCAGTTGGTACAATTCTAAACAAAGTGTCGTGGCGGGATCTACGTGTGAAGCGAAGTACATAGCTGCTTCGGAAGCAGCAACTGAAGGAGTCTGGATGAAGGAGTTCATATCCGATCTAGGTGTCATACCTAGTGCATCGGGTCCAATAAAAATCTTTTGTGAAAATACTGGTGCAATTGCCTTGGCAAAGGAATCCAGATTTCACAAGAGAACCAAGCAGATCAAAAGATGCTTCAATTCCACCCGGGATCAAGTCCAGGTGGGAGACATAGAGATTTGCAAGATACATACAGATCTGAATGTTGCAGACCGTTGACTAAGCCTCTTCCACGAGCAAAACATGATCAACACCGAGACTCCATGGGTGTTAAAATCATTACTGTGTAATCTAGATTATTGACTCTAGTGCAAGTGGGAGACTGAAGGAAATATGCCCTAGAGGCAATAATAAAGTTATTATTTATTTCCTCATATCATGATAAAATGTTTATTATTCATGCTAGAATTGTATTAACCGGAAACATTGTGTGAATACATAGACAAACATAGTGTCACTAGTATGCCTCTACTTGACTAGCTCGTTAATCAAAGATGGTTAAGTTTCTTGACCATAGACATGAGTTGTCATTTGATCAACGGGATCACATCATTAGGAGAATGATGTGATTGACTTGACCCATTCCGTTAGCTTAGCACTTGATCGTTTAGTATGTTGCTATTGCTTTCTTCATGACTTATACATGTTCCTATGACTATGAGATTATGCAACTCCCGTTTACCGGAGGAACACTTTGTGTGCTACCAAACGTCACAACGTAACTGGGTGATTATAAAGGTGCTCTACAGGTGTCTCCGAAGGTACTTGTTGGGTTGGCGTATTTCGAGATTAGGATTTGTCACTCCGATTGTCGGAGAGGTATCTTTGGGCCCTCTCGGTAATGCACATCACTATAAGCCTTGCAAGCAATATGACTAATGAGTTAGTTGCGAGATGATGTATTACATAACGAGTAAACAGACTTGCCGGTAACGAGATTGAACTAGGTTTAAGATACCGACGATCGAATCTCGGGCAAGTAACATACCGATGACAAAGGGAACAATGTATGTTGTTATGCGGTTTGACCGATAAAGATCTTCGTAGAATATGTGGGAACCAATATGAGCATCCAAGTTCCGCTATTGGTTATTGACCGGAAACGTATCTCGGTCATGTCTACATAGTTCTCGAACCCGTAGGGTCCGCACGCTTAAAGTTCGGTGACGATCGGTATTATGAGTTTATGTGTTTTGATGTACCGAAGATAGTTCGGAGTCCCGGATATGATCAAGGACATGACGAGGAGTCTCGAAATGGTCGAGACATAAAGATCGATATATTGGATGACTATGTTTGGACTTCGGAAGTGTTCCGGATGAGTTCGGGCATATACCGGAGTACCGGGGGGTTATCGGAACCCCCCGGGGGTTTATTGGGCCTCATGGGCCCTAGTGGAGAAGAGGAGGGGCGGCCAGGGCAGGCTGCGCGCCCCCTCCCCCTCTAGTCCGAATTGGACAAGGAGGGGGGCGGCGCCCCCCTTTCCTTCCTCTCCTCTCTCCCTTCCTTCCCCTCTCCTACTCCTACAAGGAAAAGAGGAGTCCTACTCCCGGTGAGAGTAGGACTCCCCCCTTGGCGCGCCCTCCTCCTAGCCGGCCGCCTCCCCCCTTGCTCCTTTATATACGGGGGTAGGGGGGCACCTCTAGACACACAAGTTGATCTATTGATCTATTCCAGCCGTGTGTGGTGCCCCCCTCCACCATATTCCACCTCGATAATATCGTAGCGGTGCTTAGGCGAAGCCCTACGTCGGTAGCAACATCATCACCGTCACCACGCCGTCGTGCTGACGAAACTCTCCCGTGAAGCTCTGCTGGATCGGAGTTCGCGGGACGTCATCGAGCTGAACGTGTGCTGAACAAGGAGGTGCCGTACGTTCGGTACTTGGATCGGTCGGATCGTGAAGACGTACGACTACATCAACCGCGTTGTGCTAACGCTTCCGCTTTCGGTCTACGAGGGTACGTGGACACACTCTCCCCGCTCGTTGCTATGCATCACCATGATCTTGCGTGTGCGTAGGATTTTTTTTTGAAATTACTACGTTCCCCAACAATCCAGCCATGCTCGACTGCAAAGAGAAGTGCATCTCTACATGCTAATGCTTCTATGACAAATGGATCAGCAACTCCTGGGTATCTCATGCACCTGCCTGATAGGATTATACATTATACCCATACAATCTCGAGCAACATACTAGCGCCCACACACCCTTTTGCATCAACAACACCATCTGTATTTATTTTACACATCCATCCCCCGATGGTCGCCATCTAGCTCTCGCTGGTGGCATAGCATGGGAACTCGACGGGGTGTCAAACACTCTTATCAGCTCCTCTATCATCTCCATCGCCCGCTTCGGTTGATATACCATCTCTTTGTGAGTGTATTTATTTTGATTGTTCCAGATTGCCCATATCACGGAAATTGCAATGGCGGCGATATCTCTACTGATGAACGTGGGATCTAGCAGATCTTTGGCCCAAGCTAATGGGTGCAGTTGAGGAAGGTTTACACCAAAGAAACTCCTTGCTTTATCCTAGAACAGCAGGGCATGGTCACATTTATAAGCGCATGAAAAATCATCTCCTCACTATGCCTACATAAAAGGACATTGCAACTCCTCGCTAACATGTCTTCTGAATAACTCGGCATGCACAGGGAGGAAATTTTTGAGCACCCTCCATGAGAAGACCTTAATCTTAGGTTGAACATGAATTTAGCACAAAGCTTTCGCAATGGTTTCCCTGCAAGGGGTAGCCCTTAACATGAATTTAGGTTGTTTTGTTTAAATTTTTTTACGCAATATGATTTCGTTTTATGTCTCTAAATTGCTTCTAAAAAAAAGTCTAGAGTTCTAGACCAAGCCCAGCCCAGCACACATTCCAGTCACACACTACACCAACACAAAGCAAAACGGCCGAGGCCGTCACACTGTCGCGCACCCATCGCCCGCTCCGCTCCGCCACCACTCTACCTGCTCCGATCTGACGCCGCCGCTGCCTCGGCATCGCCCCGCCCACCGGCCGCAGCACGCGGCCTCGCCCCCCGCCCGCCGCAGCGCGCGCGGCGCGGCCGCAGCCATGCCCAGCTCGCCCAAGGTGTTCTCCTCCTTGGCCGCCGCAGCCTCCCGCCGCTCCTCGCTCCGCCGCCTCCTCTCCTCGCCGGCCGTCTCCGCGGCCTGCCTCCTCTTCGGCCTCGCCGGGTTCCTCGCCGCCGCGGTCTCCCTCTCCCGGGCGCCCGCCGAGGCCCCGCGCGGCCGCTGCCCGGACTCCTCACACCCGCTCTCCGTCTCCGTCGCCTGGGACCGGCGCCCCGGGGATGCAGCGGGCGGCGCCACCGACCTCCCGGCGGGCCTCGCCACCGGATCGCGCGGCAGGCACAAGGTCATGGCCTTCGTCGGGATCTTCACCGGGTTCGGCTCCGTCGGCCGCCGCCGCGCGCTGAGGCGGACGTGGCTCCCCTCCGATCGGCAGGGTCTCCTTCGGTTAGTTGTCGCTGGTACCACAGCTTCCTGGTTCATGTTCGCTTGCGTTGCTCGAGATCTAGCGTTAGTGCTGAACTGTTGATCTGGTTGGTTACCTAACATTCCGTTTGTCCATTTCTGTGATCTAGATTTTGACCGCGGTGTGTTCAAATCATCATGTGTCTATTAATTCTTAGTCACTAACATAAGTCATTGCTGGTCAATTGATTGTTAAGATCAACAGCTGGCTAATTCATTCATCCATTCATATGGAAAGTTTCACTTTGTTTCTATATTTGCTGCTTGAGTTATCATCAGACTTGCTAATTCTTCTGCATTGGTGGTTCTCTAGACATAGCTCATGCGAGTTTGTGATATACTCATGATTTTAGTGGAATCATGCTACTACTCTAGAAGAACGTATTGATCCTTTTGAATTGCTGGACTCTGTCTCACTGGTACTGATAAATAGTGATTAGTTATTTTCTTTCTTGAGTTTGAAGAATGATGCATGGAGTTGGACAATTTATTGTTCTGTACAGGGATTTTGTACATTTGCTTCTAGAGTTATAGCGATAAACGTGCCCCCGATTCTGTTGCTTGATGATCGTCACAACTAGTTTTTATTTTGGTTTCTATCCAGCGATGATGTTGCTTAAGTGCTCTTGCAATTCTCATTATGTTCACTTTAATGCAGTTTGGAGGAAGCTACTGGTCTGGCATTCAGATTCGTGATCGGCAAAAGCAATGACAAGTCTAAGATGGCAGCTCTTGAAAGAGAGGTTGAAGAATATGATGATTTTGTGCTTTTAGATCTCGAGGAGGAGTATAGCAGGCTTCCATACAAAACGTAAACAGTATAACTAGTATCATATCATTATGTTACCTCTTCATATGGGAACTGATTTGATCTAATATTTTAGGTTAGCATTCTTTAAGGCTGCCTATGCGTTGTTTGATTCTGATTTCTATGTTAAAGCTGATGATGACATTTACTTGAGACCAGGTGAGCAAGAAACTGACAACATCCAAGATATATGATCTTAGTGGCTTTGACCAACATGCACAAATTTTCTTTTTGTAAGGTTGGCACTTTCATCATCAATTTCTAACCTGCAGATAGACTCTCCTTGCTTTTGGCCAAGGAACGTACACATACACAAACATACATTGGATGCATGAAGAAGGGGCCTGTTTTTACTGATCCCAAATTGAAATGGTTAGTTTCTTCTTTTCATTTTTTACCTAACACTTTTCCTTGTGAAGGATGTCTAACTCTAAGAAGCAATACATACAGTTACATGCTAAATATATGGAAAGTAGATAATACTGCAAAACCCGACCCATAAGTGAATTTTCTTTCTACAGCATAACAGTAGTCCATCAAAACTGTATAGTCTTATGGTCTCAGAAGCACTTGTGTTAAGCTTCGTAATAGTTGTCTGAAACCAAAATGATTGGATTGTCTGGTGGGCAAGGAGTGGTTCCGTCAGTGATCCTTATTTCACTATAATGGTGTCTCTGCATTGATTGTACACCACCTCCTGCTTTACATCATAGGATATATGAAAGTAGTGGAGCTCGCATGGATTGGTCTAGTGGGCAACATATGCCATAAGGGCCCACTTCTTTTTCTACGTTCAGCGCTGATAACTGTTTTGGATTAGGTCTAGTACTTTCATATCATAGGATATAAGAAAGTAGTGGGACTCACATGGATTGATCTAGTAGGCAACACTTGCTGGAACGGCCTAAACTTGTTTTTCTGTATTCAGTGCTGATAACTATTTTGGATTGGGTCTAGTACTTTCATATATGCATGGTTTTTCCTAGTTAAGTTCTGAGCTTCCTGAGATATGTGTCGTTTGGAGCCAACAATTGTGCTCGAGTATTGGAAGGGAATGCAATCGTTAGCATGGAATGAGGTACTGAACTGTTTATAATAGGTTAATGCTTCTGGATACAGAATATGTTCAGAGTTGGTTTGGCTTAAAGAATTTTCATGTTTGCTACCTTTATTTTGTCAAGTTCTGCTCCCTCCGATCCAATATACTTGTCTCTTCTGTATATTTTCTGCTTAAATATATCTAACTTTGATTGCTTATATATTTTTAAATGTCTGGATCAACTATAAGATAATGTCCGAGTGTAAGTAAGTTAGTAGTAAAAGTTAGAAATGGTAAAAATAAATAAATAATGCAAGTGAATGACAATGCTTCTTCAAGTGTTAGCTTCAGCTTACTTTGACATTGACATGCATTAATTTCGGAAAATAAAGCTTAATAACAATCTGTGGGTACAAACCTTATTGCCTAATCAGTTGTAGGAGGCCTAAGTGGTGTCGGGCAAAGTTTGCTAATGATCTCCTCTCGATCATTTTAGGAATATTAAGGAACTTGTTGTTCTCAGTGAATATGGTATATGCTGCTAGCTTGGACATGTATGTAATGTCCGGGAGAAAGTTAGTTATGTATCGATAATTGGATATATTCTATCATTCACGATAGTGAATTTTGCAAGTATGGTCAAAAGGTGAATGCACAGTGCAAAGAGAACTTTTCGAGCATCCAAAACTATAATATCTCTCTTCTGCCACCCATATCTGTAGTTAAGGAGTGAAACTAGCTTATTTGATGACTTGATGTAAGCTCAACTGATATTAGCTAGCTACATGCTGTGATATGAGTAAATTGCCAAAACATGGGTGAAACATTTGTTGGAGTGAATTGTGCCATGAGTTCCTAAACCTGCATATCTGTGTTAGTTAGGTATCACTTGATATGATCCTATTGAACTTCTATTTGGTGAGTAATTCGCCAAAACATGGTTGAAACATGGGTGACCTTGCAATTTGATATGATCCTATGTCTGAACTTTATTTGTATCATTTGGATCAATACTTTTGTAACTCAATCTTCTATTTCACTAAATATTAACGGTTCTATCAGTTAGAATTCGAACCTTGCAATTTATTTGTGATACCTTAAGTTAAACAGTTTTCTCTACTGCTAACACACATTCGAAAAGCGGTCTGTAACAATTTATTTGTGTCTGATATTACTGATATATCAAAGTATCAAACACGATACCACATACCAGTACTTGGTGAACCTCTTTGCTCAGGGTTTAGAATAACAAAACAAACGTGGATGCAGTCATGCGAATTATGTACTTGGTGAATCCCTTTACTCATGGTTTAGAATAACAAGAACAAACCTGATGCAAAATGTGTAGTTGGTTCTGCCTAAATTTACAACAGTTGAATAATATCTGGACAAAAGGACCGGCTGCATGGGATCCAAAAACATTCCTGCAGGATTAAAATATTGCTCTGACAATATGACCATAAGGGTAAAGAGTCAGGATAAAAGGCCGAATTCGCATAAGCGCAAAGCTGCTGGTTAACAATTTGTAGTCGAGTTCATCCGTTCTTCTTGTATAAAAAAGTGAGGTTAAAGACCTAACAAATGGAACTGAAGGTTTAGTGGTATATAAAACATACGGTGTACAAGTTCAGGGACCTAGAGCGCAATTCATACCATATGCTTTTTGTATTTGCGAACGCTCTACCTGGGCAATTATACTGTGTAGCACTCGTCGCTGCCTACTTATTGTTTTTGATTGTGCTCTTTTGATGAACGCAGGTACGAGCCACAGTCCTTCCTACTTGGATCAGAATACTTCCTTCATGCATATGGGCCTATTTATGCTTTATCAGCTGATGTGGTGGCAAGCTTGGTTGCTCTGAGAAACAACAGGTAAATATTCTAAAACTCGCCATCTTACACATAACCATGTTTAACTGTACCAGTAGATATTCTTTTTTGGGTCTCAGCATGCCAACTGGTACCAAGATTTTTTTAACTTGGTACCACAGAAAGATGTATAACTAAAAAGTGCCCCGGGGCCACATGTTAGTGACACATGAACGGCACTTCACAACTTGAGTGATCTTTGCGATGGTGGGGAGCAATTCGCCCCTAGCACCAACTACCAAGTAGTCATGCTAATATGCTATAGTCATGAAGTGCCAGCAAAATGCCCTACTGCTTGGCAACGGGCTTAAAACATTTTTTCACTCCCCTGGTGTCTGTTTGAAATTGACTGCTTGGGAACGAGCTTAAAACATTTTTCAGTCCCTAGTGTCAGTTTGAAATTGAAAACAAGTCTTGACAGGGAACATTCCTCCTACAGGCTGGAATATTTTGAGATATGTTATTTATGGCCAGATTCCCTCATGCTGAAGGCATATGTCGAAGCGTGAAAGTTATACCTGACATGGATAGGGAGTGTGGTCATGTCTCTTTCATGTATTAGTAAATGATGTGGCTACGTGAACTTCCTTTTCCTGTGTCTGGTCTAGTTAGAGCCATAGGAAAGAGCCGCAATTGTTATGTTAAGGTTAATAATCCTCAAGACCTATGGTAGGTTATATTCGAATCAAGGAAATTGACAGTTTCTAACTTGGAAACTTTACAAAATATTGTGAACCGGATTCTCACATAGGAACAGCATCAAATTTGCATAATTGTGAAACCACAAACTGGACCATGTATCTGTTTGTCTAACATATTCTTACCCATGTTTGTCCAGTTTCCGGATGTTCAACAACGAGGATGTTACTATTGGATCCTGGATGCTCGCTATGAACGTCAACCACGAGAACACGCACGCTCTCTGCGAACCCGAGTGCACAGCGTCCTCAATTGCTGTCTGGGACATTCCAAAATGCTCAGGTAATTTCCTTAACTGCTCCAGTTTGTATCTTCAGCCGACTTTACCAGAGCAGAAGCGCTTGATGAAATATGGATCTTCCAGTCACATTTTATCTGCCCCAGGGCTATTGAACACGCATTCATAAATGCCAACGGGTTTCTATCTGCTTGTCATCCAGGGCTATGCCACCCGGAGGTAAAGATGCTAGAGCTTCACCAGCGGAAAGAGTGCACGGGTGGTCCAACGGAGGCCGCTGAAACCGATGACGAGTGAAGCTTCGTGAGGACACAGGGAGGCATGCATGGACACTGGACCAGGCGGCATGTCATGATGACACAAACGGTCGGTTGACCCAATAGATTCTTGGAGTGCCTGCACATCTGATTCGATTCGAACATCAGGTAGCACAATCATTGCCGTTTTGCAAGCATACCACCAAGCACGCTGACGAGGAACCCTACCGCTGCGTGCGGTTCAGGCGCCACACCACGCAGCTGCAAGCACATTCTTACCTGCCTTTTAACCACAACTGTATCATTTACCGCGCGCGAGGAGGTTTTGGTGTATAGAAGGGTGCGCTAGGTACAAATTGAATTGGGTAGCACACCATGCATTTTGCTTTCCGCCAAGACGGTGCTAGACTAGAAATCAGCTCTTTCTTTTGTCAAACGATCTGGATTGCTCGATTGGATCCTTTAAGCTGAGATGCCATCCTCGAGTCCCCGACAACGGTATGCCACTGCCGTGTCGCCAACTAGAGAAGTAGAGTTGTTGGTGGTGGTATTGAATGGGAAGGAAGGATCCTCCTACTCGCAAGGATGATGATGGGTCTTGCAGTAGATTAGCTGTCTCTGGGGTCTCGCAAGTCCACGGACTCCAGCTTGGAAGAAAAGCCTAGTCCGCTTTCGCTCGCGTCGTCAGCCACTTGCGAAAGGCATTTAATTTCTCGCTTGTATTGAAGCCGATTCGACGTGGTAGCTGAGATTCGGCCGTCAAAGCGACCGGCCACATCCGAATGGGCTGTTTATCCTGCCTCGCCTAACGAACGAATCTAGCAAGTTTCATCCGTCGATCTCGCTTTAGATCATCCAAAAGGCTTTTCGCCGTGTTTCAGTACTACTAAAACGTTTCACGGAGATGAAACAGCTCTGTCGATCAGTCATCGAGCTGTTGTCGTTCACTGCTAGCAGCCTCTCCTGGCCGTTTCGCTGCCAGCCACGGTTTGTCCGTCGTCGTCACGGGCAATGCGCCGACGACGAGCGACCACAGTGGCTAGCAGTAGACTAGTCTGTAGTCCCGTCCCGGACAGGATGAGCATCGGAGGCGAGATTTGTGCAGTGTCTTTACCGAAAAGCTCCGACCACACATGAAGAAAGTTCCTTCCTTCCATTATTATCGTGTTTATTATTTCATTCCTTTTCATTCAACTGTACCACTTTTCCGTGGAACAAAACAATTATCAGGTTACAGGTTCTTTTTTTTTTTTGCGGGGAGGTTACAGGTTCACAGCAACACAGGCAGTACTATTCCACGAGAGTTGCCGCTCTCATTTTCCCCCCTTTCTTCATCACCACACACGCGCCCCGATTTTTTGCCACCGGACCAGACCAGGAACCCAGCCTTAGCCAGTCCCCAGAAACGTTTCCTTATAATTAACCCGACTGAACAAATAATTATAATAATAATATAATAATAATCGATTGATTGATTGATTAATGATGGATCCATGGACGACGATGCATGAGCTGATTGATCGACCAGTGGGAGTGGCTGGCTAGTGGGTGATGCCTGGGTGGCAGAAGGCGCCGTTGAGCCAGCCGTCGGTGATCTGCTTGTAGGCGGCCTCGGTGAGGTGGATGCCGTCCCAGCTGAGGTGCGACGCCGGGCTGGCGCAGGCGGAGGCGCCGGACATGCCGCACCGCGCGCTGTTGGCGTAGTTGTACTTGCCTCCCCCCGACCCGCAGCACGCCTCGAACACCGAGCTGAACCCTGCATCCACATCCACACACACACACACACACACGAGCGAGATCAGATGAAATCATATCACCCCACAGTGTTACGTTAGTTGGTTCATCGTTTTGGCCCCTTCCCGTTCCCTGCTAGTAGTACATCCGTCTGCCATGATGGACCCGTGACCTCCTGTGTAGTACGAAGATTCCGAGGGATAGTTTGCCGATCGGCAACGTGCTGGAGCAGTGGCGTATGTCCCGGCGTTAACCACCCACCGGGGCGGCACGCATGTGTTCGGTTGGGGAAACAGAGCACCGGCTGTTTGCTTCTGCAAGTAGCGCCGGTTAGGAGGAGCAGCGCCTACCAAACCCCATTATTTTCCCCAGTGACGGGACGTCGTTACCCGCTCGGGATCCCCGTATGAGACGCCCGTCACGAGCGCGAGCCCGCCCGTGTCGGCCCGCCATCTCGTTTTCTGTTCACCGGCGATCGACCGCGTGCAGGACAGGTCAGGACTGGGCGCAGGACACGATCACGTTCCCACGGCCGGCGCCGGCGCGAGCCAGAGCGGCGCAACGGCAGGAAATCCCTACGGCCGGCGCAGCGCACGCACATGGACGGACGGACGCACGGACGGGCTTGTGGTCACCACGCTACTGGTGCACCAGTGCAGTACTGCAAGCTCACTGCTTGCTGCTGCTCGATCGTGCACGAGCCTTCAACGCCGAATAATCCTACATTTAATCACGTCCCCATGCATGCTTGTCCCGTGCTAGACTGCTGGTACTGCCAGCACGTACAGAGCGTGGCGTGCGCGTCCAAAAACGCTCTGCGATGCCGACGACGGAGGGGGGTCCAGCGCAGTCACGGCGAGTTTGAAATCTAGCCACCAACGGTGCTGCCACCGTGCCACGGTGACTAGCCGCCAAACGTGTCCGTAAGGTGTACGTGTGCATGAAATCATGTAGTACGTATGAAGGATTGAAGGTACGCATATACGTACCGTATTTGCTGGGGCTCCGGACCATGTCGTAGACCCCGGCGTAGAAGTCGGCGTACATGATGCGCGCCGACTTGTACTTGGCCTGGAGCGCCGACACCTTGGCCTGCAGCAGGCTGTTGTGGTACGTGGAGAGGTCGTTGAACTTCTTGAGGCAGCCGAGGGAGTCGTAGTCGGCGGCGCTGGAGGTGCCGTAGATGGTGAGGTAGATGGGGAAGCAGCCGATGGGGAGCACCCCCGGCACCACCACGTCCACCGCGCCCATCGCCACCAGCTTCTCCACGCCGGCGCCGATGGTGTCCACGATCTGCGGCGCGTACGTGCTCGCCTGGTCCGTGTTGTAGTTGCCGAACAGCATCGCGTTGTAGTCGTTCCCCCCGAACTCCCCGAAGATGAAGAGCGAGTTCGCCAGGTAGCTCTTGCAGCCTGCAGCAAACATAGTGATGGCACGTACACACACGCATGAGCGAATCAATTCGCCAGGCCCCATGGAAAGCAGTAAAGCTCTTATCAATGGCGGCAGCGGCATGGCAGTGGCAGTGGCGACAGCTGGATGGAGCAGGAAATCATGCTGCTGCTGGTGTAGTATTAAGAGAGGAGCAGAGCATGCAGACATGGTGGGCTGGGCTTTGAAGGAAGTGAAGAAAAGAAAAGAAAAGAAAGAGCAAAGCACTCACTGCTGCCGCAGACGGAGGAGGTGATGGTCTGGAACCACTGGAGCTGGAAGCTGATGGGCCCGTTGTTCCAGATCTTGTCGGAGAGGCCGAGGGAGCGGAAGAAGGGGGCGTCCATGGCGGTGGCGCCGGTGATGGCCATGTTGGCGCCCTTCTTGAAGTCGGCGGAGGTGGACTTGGAGGGGGGCAGGAAGGGGAGGCCGTACTTGGTGCTGAGGAAGTCGACGATGACGCGGCCGTCGGAGCAGCGGCAGGTGGGGCTCCCGAAGTAGGTCTCGCCGTAGGGCGGCTGCGTGAAGGTGATCGCCGAGGGCCGCCCGTTGGTGCACAGGTTGCCCGTGTCCGTGATCGAGTCGCCGAAGCTGTACACCGCATTGTACTTCTGCGCCGCCGCCATGGAAAGCGACGACAAGCACAGCAGCACAAGCAGCGGCAGCGGCAGCCTCGCCGTCGGCGGCGACGACGACCTCGCCATCACGACACCGCCGGCCACGCGCAAGAGCGGCTACGGGGAGGAGGAGGGGTCGAAGGTGGTGTGCTCGCTGCGACGCTGCCTCTGCGCGCGGAGATGAGCCGGCGGGCGGGGCAGAGAGCAGAGCGGAGCAGAGCACTTTGAATGGATGGAACGGGCGGCGAGGGGCAGCGCTTTTTATAGGCCCGTGGCCGTGGCAGAGGCCTGTCCGGCTGGGGGCCATGGTCGACGCGCATATACAGGTAGATAGGCCAGGCGTTTGGAGGAGTGCATGCAACAAGTTGCAAGTGATTCCCTTTTTACGTGCCGCCGGCCCGGTACATGGCAATGGCAATGGCAATCAACGCTGCTGTTGGACTCGTGTCGCCGGACGCCGGTCCAGTGTGAGTGAGCGAGTTTCTTGTTTCTCTTTTTTCTTTTTTGAAAGGTAGGAGTTTCTTGTTTCTCTTTTTTTATCGGTTTTTCCTTTTTCTTTTGAATATAGTACAACCAAAGTCACTCATATACACAAGTATATACTCATCCCTATAAAAGCACGACACACTATCCATACGAGCACCTTCGAGAGAGTGAGCCGGCATAACATCTCGAGATTGACGAAGTACACCAGAGACGCCTCGTAGTCAAGGTGAACGTCTTCTCGCACTGAACAAACCTGACCCAAAAGCCTGAAATAATACATGAAAATGCGATCACCAATGTCAAGTCAAGTCTAAAACTTAAATCCTGATGCCTTGGGAATACCACAGTTCTCCTAACCATCCAACCACTTGTTGGTTTACCCTTTCTCTAATTAGAAAGATAGGAGTTTCTTGTTTTTTATCCTTTTTTCAGAAAGGCAGGAGTTTCTTGTTTTCCTTTTTTCTTTTTAGAAAGGTAGGTGTTGCTTGTTACAGACCGCGCTAGCCCGACGCGAGTATTTGACAAAAACCTACCACATCTCACGTTTCCGTCCCACAGAACTACCATATTTTGAAAACTGGCCAAAAACTCCGGATTAATGCTGATTTCATGACAAAAACTACCAGGTCGAGTTGAAGACAAATTTAACTCGTTTAAATGCTTTTCTGATAGGGCTGGCCCACCTGTCAGGACGGCGGCCACGCTAACGGCTAACGACGCTCGCCGCTGCCCGTTAGGCACGCGCGTCGATTGTACCCGGTCGTACCAGGACTAACCTGGCCGACCGGCTCGCCCGTCGTCGTCCCCCCTCACTCTCCCCCGAGCTCACT